GTGAATTGTGATCTCAGCTCAAAATATATATTTGTGACATATCGCACAGGCCTAGCTTTGGAACATTTATAGGTACATATTTCTTCTGCAATTGTGACATACAGCAGCCTTTCACCAGAACATGAATGACATGAGTTCTATAGCTTGAGAGGAGTCTGCCATGATGTTGTTATCCCTTGAAAGGTGTCTGAAGACCATTGCTCCTCCTCTCAGCAGCTCTCTGAATAGCTCCTCTCTGTAAAGGCTCCATACATCTTTAATGCACTCATGGCTCCTGGCGAAACGTAGCATTCAGGCCACTGCACTCTCCACAGGTCAGTTTGTCTAAGCACAGGAGTGGGATCTCTTTCTGATGGAGTGAGGGGTTCATTATTGTTGTTTTCAAAGGATGTAAGGATGTGTCTACACTCAGGCAACCCCAATCAATGACTGTCATGCTGCTGAGGGCTATACATTGCTGACGTTCAGTGGTTCATCTCAGTGTTGCAGCTTTTGAAAACAAAATAAAAAACTAAATTTCTAAAATACTTGCCAGAGAACGTACTGATTCACTGATTCACTACCAGAGCTGTTTAATCGGAACAATTATGGCCATTAAAATAGTCATAATCATATTAATTGTTATTATGTGTATTGTATTAATTGTTATTATCCGCACTCTTCTCTCCAATTTATGTCTCTCTTTTTTATTTTAATCTTCATGATTATTTATGTTTTGATTTGTTTTTATTATGATTTTAATGTATTTCTTATTCTGTAAAGCACTTTGAATTACTTTGTGTACGAATTGTGCTATACAAATAAACTTGCCTTGCCTATGTGGATTATACAGACTCTAAAACACTTTATTTAAGCTTTATTAAAATAAATTGTAAGAAAAAAAAAAAAAAACTATTTCTGATTTTTATTAATAATTTAGTATATTTGTAAGTATTCTCTAGCTAGTTACTTACCATATTTCAACTTTTATTTGGTTAAAATGTATTTTCAAAAATCTCAAATATTTGTTTTACTTGTCCAACCACTACTAAAATAATTGTTAGTTGCAGCCCTACCCACTGCTGTTCTGAACCACTGACTATTTCTAACTTGTGGGTGTGGAGGCTCACCCTACCCCTTCATTATTGGTGTAGGCAAATTAGACCTATGGATTCAGTTTTTATGGGTTTTCGAGTTACTATATCCTCCAGATGACTTGTATGCCCACAAATATTTAGGTCATAGGCAAATCTGAAAACGGACACATTATGGGATCAGCCACCCTCCAAGAGTGAGAACATAAGAACATTAAAGCAGTTTATACAGTTTTAATGCCAGAGAAACGCAATGCCTGACCTCTTTGTGTGTCTGTGCATTGGGCTAAAGGTTACGCTTTTTCAATCTGCTCATATCATAGCTGTAGATTATAGCATCAACAATCTGTTCAGAACTGACTGTGCATTAGTGAGGAAGGCCTGAGGGGCACAACCTCCCAATTTATCCCTGCAGCTTTGGGGTTATGTAGTACAGTACAATATTTAACTGGTTGGTCTTATATCGTTATCTTATATTCTGTGATGTTGCCAATAGTAGGGTCACTGTGTTTGCTCTTTGATGTGGTAGTGGTGTGATCCAGGTTCAGGCTGATATGGACATGGTATAGTCGCATTCAGTTTATATATTTTTTTTTTTTACTTTTTGAAGCTGTTTTGTGGACACCACAAAACAGCAACCTGTTTTTGATGTGCTACCTTTTGGTCAACCCTGTAGGACAGAAATTCTAAATATGTTGTTGTTGAGTAATGTACTCCAGGCATGTACACACCTTTTTTCAGAGGACTGCATATTGAAACATAATATGCTACAGAGGGCCACAGACACAGTGGATTCTTCATATGGGTGCAATTTCTTTGACAGAGCCTACTTTAATAAGGCGTGGACCGTTCAGTTTAGGTCTTCCATCACAATGTGATGTTATCAAGGTTATAGTGGTACAATTAACTACAGTGAAAAGTACTGCCTATATAATCAGTTGGGCCAATTTAGCAAGCGATCAGCCTCATTTTGAGGAGACAGAATTACTTATAGATTTAGATTTGTGATTTGGAGCAACCTCCTATCTATCATGTGCTGGTGGAGCCATGTTATGCCTATTGGAGCTATGATGCCTCATACTGTTTTATACATTTTTTTCTGTGGTCTTTGTTTTAAATTTTTATAGACTGTATGCAACATCTACTATTACTATAATCAGAGACTGTAACATTTTTGGTAGCTCCCCTGTTGCTTTCTGTGACCTGATCTGGTGTAATTAAAGCCTCAGTAATTGTGGAAGAGTATCAGTTATTCTTTAAGTGAGATGAGAGCGCTTACGTGGGGTTCCAAATGAGCAGATTTCACCATTTGTGGTTAATAACTTTCTTGTGCTGTTTTCAGTCCCTCTGGGCCTCCTTACTTTCCCTGTGCTGCAGATTAGAGGTCTTGTGCCACTCTTAAAGCCTGGTTAATTTAGATTTAAGACTGAGCTGAGCAAATGATCGCCTCTGTCTGTAATCCTGCCTCTCAAACAGCCAGAGCCAGGCACTCCCCAAATGAGACCCCCACAGACATCCCTGTAGGAGACAACACAGACACGCCCCTGCAGGAGACGACACAGACACAACCCACAGACACACATATGCAGAGGACCCCATAAACAGGCCCCTGTAGAAGACCCCACAGACACGCCCCTGCAGGAGACATCACAGACGCGCCCCTACGGAGGAGACACACCCCTACACACAACATGTTAGCACTTTCACTTCACAGCAAGAAGATCCTGTGTTCAGTTGCATGTGCTCTCTTTGTCTGACTCAGTGGGTTTATTGTGGATGCTTTGGTTCCTGTCAATAACAATAACAAACTTATTACTCCTGATGAACCTGACTCATACACAGAGCAGCGGCTGTAAAGTTGCGTGCTGTAGTGTGTTTCCTAAGATGGCCTCAGCAGAACAGCATGGTTGTTATTTTGGGACCAGTATGGTCCAATATTATAGTCTAGTGTGGGTGTGTAATTACAATGTCCACTTCACCACTTTGAAAGATGCAGCTCTTCAGGCTAGTTCATGCGTAGACATATGGCATCTATATAAATTGTTTACTGTGGTAATGAAACCATTGGTGGTGTCATGGGTCCACCACTGTTACTTCAGTCTTGTGTGCCAATGTTTTGTGAGCCTTCCTGATTTCTTATAGGCCTTTCTGATGTATCTGTTAAGATTATTATTCATGCGTCCTCTTTACTGTCAGTGAATGTGATGTGTGATGTGATTGGGAGCGGTTGCTGACATTTTCCCAGTCTGAGGCAGAAGTGATGCTCACTGGATCATGTGATGCTCTTAGGCTGGTCTCTGTGTCACCTGACCTCCTGTGATCCTAGTAACTGCACAGCTCACTGTCAAAGTCAATGCTACAGTTTTTATAAACAAGTTAGACTGAGTGATTAGAGAAACAGGATGAAAATGGCAAGCTAATAAAAGGGTTTGGAGTATTTTTTTCTGTATTATTCCTGTGTGTATGGGAACAGCTTAATGAATATTATCCTTCTCCATCAATTGCTTAAAGTTGTTATTACATTAAAACTGAGTGATATCGGAAAAATGTATCACATTTTTTTTCTCATATTGATCTGTCTCAAATTTCAACTTGATTTTATCCAAAAACATAATTAAAATGGCTCTTAGTATTGATTTCATACAAATAAAAAATACAGGCCTGTAACCTGTACTATTTAACACAGAAAATAGTCATATTTCTTCATCCAAACTCTGCTCCAAATCACATGCTTTTGATGACTTTCGATTTAAAAAACACAACTGTATCACTGACAATAAAACATGACTGATTCACAGTCTCTCAATGTTTCGATTACTTCCTCTACTTTCTCCCTTGAGATATTTCACCTCGTATTTATTTATTTATTTATTTTATGCTTTATTTACACTGCCATTTGTTTAACCAGATTACTGTATTCATTTACTATTAACTGAGTCTTGATAGCTTTCCTTAATAGTTATACATTTTAAAACCAAATGCCTCCTATGTCATGGGCCTGTGACTTGTGCTTTGGTTCTGTGCAGTGTATCATTATTGCATGTGCCCCTCCCTCTCTGATGTGGTACCAGGATCTGTCCATACCACAGTAAAGCTTTGAGTGTTCAATGGTCCACTCTCACGTGTTCATATCCGTGTGTGTGCTTGTGTGTGTGTGAGTGACAGAGAAATGAGAGAGAGGGACAAGGGGAAGAACTGAGTGATCCAGATGTTTACATTGTCATTTTTTCTGTTTTCCAGTGTAAAAGTCCAGACTGTGGACTGTAGTTATCTCTTAAACATACTCCATCATTTATGGAGTACTGTGACTGTACTGATTGAATATAAATGCCAGTATTGCAGTGATGCTTGTTCTAGACTTGCACTGGGAAAAATAAGGGGACAGTGTTCTATCATCAATTATCAGCACTTTTATTTTATTTCAATTCGACTCAACAGCCTTTGACTCGTCTCTCTTACCATGTGCATTATCTTAATCTTCCACTAGAGGTCAGACTCACTCATGATAGTTTGTATAAAATGAATAGTGTCTGAATGCTTCAGTGATGCTAATTTATCTTCACATTTGCATGTGTTTTCATCTTTTTATTTACCAGTTAAAAAGGAAAATTGTGGAGAATTGTGGTCCAATTAACACTGACACATATTTACAGTTCTCAGAAACGTTTTGAAAGTTTTCATTTCTTTATTTGTTTTATTATGTTATTGTGTTATTTGTGTTAAATTGCTATACAATCGACTATCAGTTGTAGATTAATGAGCAGACCAGAGAATCCTAAATGATTTCTTTCTAAAATGTTATTGACTAATCCACGTTGATTTTGCTATTAATGTAAAGACAAATACAATGCAGTCTAGTAGAACAATAAGATGTCTTCTGATGCCTAATTATTTTTCTAATAAGAATGTCTTTTGTGTTTGTGGCAGTGAACAGAGCATCTGCCAGGCCCGGGCCTCTGTCATGGTCTACGATGACGCCAGTAAGAAGTGGGTGCCCATCAAGCCGGGCCAGCAGGGCTTCAGCCGCATCAACATCTACCACAACACTGCCAACAACACCTTCAGAGTGGTGGGGGTCAAGCTGCAGGATCAGCAGGTGTGTACTGCACCGCCACCTGCCATCACCACAAACCTTTCCTACAAAGTGTTCCAAAGACGTAACAATATCCAAATCTTCATATATCATATTATTACCTGGTCCCCAAAGGGTTGACCAGGTTTTGTATTCACCCTGTGTGTGTATGTGTGTGTGTGTGTGTGTGTGTGTCTGTGCCATTTATGCCATTTATGGACCGATTGTCACCAAATTTGATACGTGGGGAAGCCCCCGTGCCCGATGCCGCAAAAAAAGTTTGGTGATTATCCAAGGTCATTCGAGGTCAATTGAAAGGTCATGCCATTATAAAGGGTAGGCAATTTCTGCAATTTCCATCTGCTGGCTGAAATATTCATCCAATCATCACACACGTTGGCACACACATAACCAGAGTATGGGCTGGGCTCCTGATAAGCTGTTTCCGTGGTGATGAACTGCCTCTGCTGATGCCTCATGGGGGACCAGGTTGCTATCTCTGATTGCGCTTGTTAGCTGTGATGTTGTGGGGAGAGTCACGTTACATGTTCGAAATGTATTATAAAGTATTGTACCTTTGTCATGTTGTTTGCATTGGATCTGAACAAAGGGTCTAACTATCTTTTCTGGGTTATGTTTTGGTGAAGGTGGTGATAAACTACTCAATTGTGAAGGGGCTGAAGTACAACCAGGCCACACCCACCTTTCATCAGTGGAGAGATGCGCGACAGGTCTATGGCCTCAACTTTGCCAGTAAAGAGGAGGCCACCACCTTCTCCAACGCCATGTTGTTTGCCCTCAACGTGCTCAGCTCCCCAGACAGCGGAGGTAATACTCTGCATACTGACTCTCACACACCCATAGATGTCACTGTTACCCTGATTGAGGAAACAACACCTAGGTGTAATTATGAAGATAACTCTTTAAATGTGCACTATGTAGCTTTTTTGGAGGAGAGTCTGTTAACTGCTTGTCTTCATGGAGATGTCATTGCTTTGCTTGCAATGTTTCCACAGTATAGCATTATACATCTATCTATCTTGCATTTATTTCATTATGCATACTTTTATTGCTCAAAAATACCTTGAAAAACATGCATCCTTATTGTGAGTGGGCTAGCCTCTTCACAGACCTGACCTGTAACCTGGCCAGGTGCTGCCTTCTTTGGCTTTTTGTCCCCATAGAGATAGATACATTTAATGTCATACTTAACACATTTTAGAAAAATCAACAGCTTCTTCACAGAGACAAGCAAATGGCGAACCCTTTACCAGAAAAGCTACACTGTGCACATTTTAAAAAGGGTATATTTTTGTACCACTGCATTAATTTTCATCATGTTTTCCCCTTGTATTTATCAGTCTAACAAATAAATTTTTTAATCAGGATTTTAACTCCTTGATGGACTAATTATAATTGTGAACTAGTTATGTATATAGTATATACAACACAAATAGTACACACACCAAAGAGCTCAGATTCATTCTGAAGTCAGAGAGTAGAATAAAAATACAATCTTGAAGTTCATGTTGCCTCCATCTGGTGGTTGGTTTCATGTACTGCAGTTTTTAAAAGGCACTTAAAGCAAGTGTTACAGTCAGTAGCATGGTCCAGAATTTTTAATGGCAAACACATACTTGCATTAGCAAAACAGAATATTTTCCACGTCATCACAATTCAGTTATATTCAAGCTATATTTTAGAGAAATTTAATTTCTGATAATAATTACCGGCACAAGTTCAACCCATCCCCTCTCTTGCTTTACTTGTGTGCAGCTCTGGTTACAGGACACTTATAAGATGTGTGTGGGGGCAGAGGAGGTGTGTAGCTGGTTTACTGGGGTGTCATCTCCCTCCATGTGACTGCCCTATCATTCGCAGAGTTAAAATATCCGCTCAGAGCCGGGATGTCGTTCTGCTCTGAGCTTACATGGCACCTCTCTTTATTTTGGGCGCATTGGACTGCGTCATCCAGACCATGGCAATGCTGTGGTTGGTGTTCATAGAGAATTGTGTAATGATTGAGCACAGAGACCTGTGCTGTGACCTGCTGGCTTTGGGAGCGGTCCACAATGCTGACTCCAGAAGGGTCCCCTGGTGGCCTCAGGCGGGTGTCATCGGCCCGCATTCTTCTCAGTAAGTTTAGAGCTGTGATGGTGCAAAGACACTGGTCTCAATCCACCCAGCATGATGTCTGAAAATGTCACGTTATTTTGAGTAGTCCCATGGATACCCTAGTGCTTCTTAGTGTTTGTTTGTTAATATTTCTTTTAAGCCTCTGAGCCTCTGGATGGTTTGGGTGTGATGTTTTTCGTGGGCTGTATAGCTACACAATGTGGAAATATTTTGTGGTTTCAGGGCAGACATCTCAGATGACTTGTATTAGTGACACTCAGGCTAAATGCTGAAATGATGTGCTACTGATAAGGCATTCAGAATTGTTGATTAAGCCTGATTAATTAAGTTCTTAAACATGTCTCATCATGCCCATTTAGCTTCCTGTTTATACCATCACCATGATGACACTGATTGCCGTAAGCCTCATATCAACATGAATGTAGTGATTGTGTCAGCAGTCTGAACTGGTACATCTGTGCATTTATAAATTACGATGACATCAAAGTTCATACAGCATGCTCCTCTGCTGCTTCTGAAGTGTTCAAGGCTCTTCTGCTTTTGGCCTGAGCAGCCACTAAACAGAGAATAGCATAAGTATATCCAAAAGTAATGCATGACCATAATTATATAAAAGTACTTTAGGTTTTGCTGTACAGTGACATGGCATCTTACATGAAAGAAGAGCATTAGCACTATTAACAAACTGCATTACAGATCATGGATTAAGTTAGCCTTAGCTTTTATCTATTTCTGTATGCTCTGACTCAGTAACATCAGAGGAGTCAGCTGGATTGTGTGTTAATGAAAAGAACGTGATTACGGCCTCACCCTCTCCACCACTATGTTAATGACTGGTACTCTGCCTTGGCTGCATGTGTCGATAGATGGTGGGATGGCAATGACAAATGTCCCACTACTGGGACAGTAGTGGGCAGTTTTTAGACCCCTGATTTTACAGAAATTATATGAGAACCATGTATAGGATTTCATACATCAGTTTTGCTAATACTCACTTTGTATGTTATATATTGTATCCTATGAAAATTTTTTTGTCTGTCTCTCCATGTTCAGGTCCAATTGTTCAGCGTCAGAATGGACCATCTTCAGAGGAGAACGAGGCACAAAGGAGGTAAAAACAGTTTCCTTTATGTACACAATGTGTGTGTACTCTTCAGTACATGATAGGACACCTTATGGTTAACAGGATGATGGAGCAGCACCAGATGCAGCAGGCCCATAAGGAGAGGGAGAGACGCACATCAGGATCGGGTGAGCCTTAGACAAACACGAGTACAGCTTCAGGAGGTATCTTAGCTCTGGTAGAAAACTTCTGGTTTCAGCACTAATGATGGCACATTCTAGGTGCTGGCGCAGTAACAGCTCAGTATGGGTGTGTATGGTGTTACTGTCCCCTCCTAGAGTCACTGCTCCTACCGTGTGTGTATGCTTTACCCATGCACACATGAATGCCCCAGTCCCCTGAAGCACATGTCCCCTGTCCTGTGAGGACCCCGTCCTGCAACATGCTCGACTGCCATCACTGTCTCCAGCGCCGGCCGCCATAAGCTCAGACCATGGCTCAGTCATGTTGCATTTTGCTGCTTGTTCTTTTTGATTATGATGATTATGAGTTGATTCTTATTCTTATTTGCTGTAAGCTTCTGTTTTTGATTGCTATTGTTTTTCTCATCTTTACTTACTTGGTTGCTCAGTTGGTTGCTTTTCATCTGCTCACGTTTCTCTTTTCTGTTTTCCTTTGTCTGTTGCCCTCCTCTCGTGGTCCACACCTCTGTCTGTCTCTATCTGTGTGGCTCTGTTTGTCAGTCGTTTCCACCCTCCAATACAAAGTGTCCAACCCTCCTGTCCATCCCGACACCCCTCCCGAGTACAGACAGTTCCGCGCTAGCACACTGCCGCCATCCTACGCCCGTGTGGCCTCCGACTCTCCCCCCTCCCCTGCTCAGGACAAGTCACAGCTTCAGGCTCAGCTCCAGGCGCAGCTGTCCACCTCTCTAGCCTCTGCCTTCTCCCCGGTGCAGGCTGGGGTGAGCACCCAGGGCCGGCAGGTCCGTCAGATCCCCCTGTCCCCACCCACGGCTGCTCGCCACCTCCACCATCAGCAGCAGCCAGAGATAGCATTGCCCCCTAAACATGGCACTTGGTCTGCATCACATTTGCAACAGATGCAAATGTACAGTCAGATGCCCCCCTCTAACTCCCCACCAGTCATGATGGCTGTACCTGTCAAACAGGGCCTTCCCCCACAACCTGTTCTCCCTGTGGCCCACCCCCTGCCCCCGGTGAGGATGAAGCCCCCACCCCTGGACCCTAACTCTGCTTACTCACCCCAGCCTCAGCAACACTACCAGCCCCCTCCACACCAACCACAGCAGCTACACCCCCAGCAGCATACTAACGGTCAGCCTGAGGACCCTGTCCCATACTGTGACCCCGTCCCCCCGACAGGCCCTACACCTTATGCTCCACCTCAGTATCCCACCTTTCACCCCCAGCAGCAGCCGTCACCACAGCAACTGCAGTCATCGCCACAGCAACCACTGGTATACCAGCATCAGCAGCAGCCCCCTGCCCCATCGCCCCCCTCTTATACTGCCTCTGACGGGGGCTCGCCCAAGGAGACCCCCTCCCCAGTTCCCCTGCAGCCCCCCATGGCCAGCAGCAGTAAGTATAAGGAGCCAAGGCAGAGGCGGGCTTGTACTTTCTGTGCAAGTGTGTACCAGTCACAGGTCCACACAGGGGTTAGAACTTGGCATATGGACAGCATTTTAAATAGGGAAGACATCTTGGATGTTGTTTTCACATGATGTCACTCTATCAGAATGTATTTATTTATTTGTATTGTTTTTTTTTTTAATCTTTTATCCAAATTAAAGGGTAGGTGGATTACTGATTTAGCTACTTAGTACTTTCTTTATATTTGACAAGGGAGATGTCTTTCACTCTTTAAAACTGCATTAAAACTGCATCCTGTTGCCCTTTTCTAAACCGTGCTGGTCAGTGTGTCTGTGTGTGTGCGTGCGTGTGGCTGTGTGTCTGTGTGTGTGTTTGTGTGAGAAAGAGAGAATGAGTCATAATGTTAAGAGGCTCTCAGCTCTCCTGAACACACCCCACAATACCCAAGTGTGTCACATGCGCTATATATCCTGTGCATAACACTCACTAACACGTCAGCACACATCTCTTATCTTAAGTAAAGGCAACTACACTTACTATATGTTTATTCAGTATGGTGTCCTTTGAAAGAATTAACTTCTATGGCCATCCTGTCCTTAAACAGTCACTGTAAAAGATACGGTTCCTGTTCTTCTATTTGTGAGTCTATTTGAAGGGTTAGTTTGGTTTAGTTTAGTTTATTGGTTGTGTATCACAAACTGAAAACAAAGAAACACATTTTTTATCATACATACAGTATAGGACTGTGCAGATATTCCAAAAGGTGACTTTTAATTTGCCTAATTAGAGCATCACATTGATTGAAGTAATTTTATATGAATAGATAATAGTAGACATGGTACTGAGCTCAGCCGCTGAATCCCTAAGGTGCTGCTCGGGGAGCTGGGAGTAGTATCTCTCCACACAGCAAGGGCTCTTCTTAGATTTTGTCCTTCCCTGTTGCTCTTCAGGCCCCCCTGTCTCAGCCGGTCACCCCGCCATGCTCTCTGTGGCACCTCCCACAGCAGTGCCATCTCCAGCCCCACCTCCACCTCCGGGCCCTCCGCCCCCCATGGCAGTGCCCCCTCCTATGCCTCCACCTCTGCCCGCAGGTGGGGGCCCTCCTGGGGGGCCGGCTGGGCCTCCTCAGCCCTCAGGCCTAGCTGCAGCACTGGCAGGAGCCAAACTACGCAAAGTCCAAAGGGTGAGTATCGGGCATGAGTCAGTGGCAGAATAGAATGTAGATAACATGAAAAATGTGGGCCCACACTTTTGTATTTGTCCTGTGAAACCTAAAAAAAAATCTGGATTTTGTCAAAATCTCTTATTAAATAATCAAATAATTTAAAATATGTTACTAAATATTTATAATCCAGGCTCTGTTATAACTGACATATATCTGAATGGTTATCATGTGCCAAAAGCCAACATTGATTTTTCATGTTTTATGATATTCTGTGGTTAGTTAATCTCTCCTGGTCAAAGCCTGATCTTGTCAGTTCTCAGAAACTAAGCGGTGCCGGCCTGGTTAGTACATGGATGGGAGATTGCTGGAAATTCCAGGTGCCACAGTAGGTGCCAGTAGCAAAAACTGTTGTTGTCCTTTGGCACTTTATCCATATTACTTAGTATGAATGTGGTGTGTGCACACTTGTTGGTGGTGATTGGGCCTAATGGCATAGATTGACAGCCTCTCTTCTGTTAGTCTGCCCAGGGCAGATGTGGCTACAGCAGTAGCATACTACCACATATGGAGTGAATGGATAATGCATGGCATTGTAAAAGCAACTCTGAAAAAGTGCAAAAGTAAAAGACTTATGCATTATTTTTATTGAAAATATATTATGTTCCACTTTCAACTCCAGTTGCCTCCATTCAAGAATACAGAATGTATTTGTTTACAAACGTTTAAACACTGTTGGGCAAGTTACTTTAAAACTGTAATGCGTTATTTATGACTTGTTACTGTCATTTCAAAGTAATTCGTTACATTACAATATTACTGTATTTAAAATGTATAACATTACATTACTGCTGCATTACTTTTAAGTTACTCTTACCAAAATAACTGTGAAGATGCTGAACTTTTGCGCTGTATATGGACTGAACAAGGACTAAACCAGAGCTGAACCAGAACTGAACCAGGACTAAACCAGGACTCAAGCAGGCCTAAACCAGGTCTAAACCAGGACTAAATCAGAGCTGAACCAGGACTAAACCAGGTCTAAACCAGGTCTAAACCAGGACTAAACCAGAACTGACCCAGGTCTAAACAAGGACTAAACCAGGACTAAACCAGGACTAAACCAGGACCAAACCAGGACTAATGTTGGACTAGAACTTGGAATCTAGGACCGCCCCTGAGAGAACCCCGCGCCCGTGGCACAGGGTGTCTGCAAGGCGCAATCGGGCATCAGCTGCGGTTTGCCCCATGGAGCGCGGAGTTCTGCTCCTGTCCTTTCGCTCGCAGTCACTCGACGGTCTACGCAGGCGCACCTCCGGCGTTTCACTACTGCTGATATCGCGGTGATTTTAGCAAATTTATATGAAGAAAACCCACCACTCCAATCCAGGTTAAAACAAGCTTTGTAATGCGCATTACTGACATTTGTACCAAGTAAAATATTACATTTTTCCCCCTCTAATGCTAATGCACATTACTGCATTACAGCAAAAAGCAATGCATTACAGTAATACGTTACTTTTATTTTAACGCGTTACTCCCAACAATGCGTTTAAAGAGTCTATACTCTGATGACACTGCACCATGTGGACATCTGTATATCAGTGTGAAAATAGTGATGAGTAATACTCCTCAGGTCTAAACTGGGCTGGACTTCACCAGCATTAAATCACCAAAGCTGTGCAGATTTACATCCATTTTAATTGTATTTGCTGTTGAGTTTTATTTAAATGTCTTACTGGACAGTTGAACAACACAAAGTTGACATGTCTGCTGTGCCTGTTGTGTGGCAGGATGAGAGCAGTCCGCCCGGCTCAGGGAAAGCTGACTCAAACCGCTCCAGTGGGGGCAGCGGCAGTGGAGGAGAGGGCCTGATGCAGGAGATGAATGCCTTACTCGCACGCAGGTATAGTAACTCTACACCCAGGCTGAACAATCATTTTAAAAAATGGAAATCAGGCTTTGCAAAGGTTGAACATTTTTGGTGATGATGTCTCTCCTTTTTTCAGTGGGAGAACCTGCTAGCACATAAGGAATTTTATGCTTTAGTCTGTAGAGTAAGAAACCTGTTGATTAATATTTCAGTCTTTGTAGTGTTAATCCTCCTAGATGTGAACTTTTACATATTTTGCTTAGATTGTTTATACAGTCCATAAAGGTATCTATGCATCTACAGGCTATGAACTGTGGTCATAAACTTTCACTATGGTTAATGACTGACCTTTATTTTTATGTGTCTTTCTGTTTGCCTGTAACATGTGCTGTCCATCTTCACAGGAGGAAAGCTTCGGAGAAACCTGATGAGGTAAGTGAATGTTTGTTTAGCAAGTCATTAACCCGCTAATTGTCTCTGTGTGATTGTGTTGTGTCTGTTTTTGTGTTTTTGAGCAGGATGACTCGAGTGGTCGGGGGCAGAACTCAACAGGTAAGAAACATCAACTTTAAAATGACTGAAAAAGAAATTACAGTTATACAACTACTATAACAACAACTATATATATATATATATATATATATATATATATATATATATATATATATATATATATATATATATATATATATGTGATTATAATATAATATTATTTTGGTAGATGCTGTGAAAAAGCCTTGGGAAAGATCAAACTCTGCTGAGAAGTCCTCACTGGTATCCAGGTATGTGGGGAGGAAACTGTAATTTTAATATTAATGTGTGGTACCTTAATTATTTAATTTCTTTGTGTTCCAGAGTTAGACCCATTGGTAGCACTAGTGAGTCAGACTCAGATTTTGACCGTATGAAGCAGGTAAATTCATCTTGCTGTAAAGACCATAAAACATACACTGATTAAATTAAAACTAAATGACTAAATATGTTGCAGGAAATTTTGGATGAAGTTGTTCGTGAGTTGCATAAGGTTAAAGATGAAATTATCCATGGTAAGTCCACATGTTAGCTCTTTCTACCATGAAATGTCATAAAATCTACAAACCACAAAATTACACAAACACAGCATGTGATTCCAATGACATAAGAAGTTTTCTGAAAGAGGAGAAGGAGCACAAGGATCGGTGCACTCCTCCTCTGCTACATTAAAACTTATAACAAACAACAATGCAAATTTCTAATTTCCCAGTCTCACCAAAAACAGCCTATAGTAAAGGATCTCGCCAGTGTTAGGGTGACCAAAGGGGACATGCAGGGTGTATTTGAAACTCATTGTTCATCATATATGTCCAGTATCAGTAGATTTTATACATGCACAACCCTTTCTTAGAAGCTTCACCAAGTGCTTTTCTCTTTGCTTTCCTTGGAATGTACCACAATATGTCATTAAACTCCATCTCAATGGTTTTTCAATCATAGATTGTTAAAAACAATAAGAATAAATATGAAAAAACGTTGCCTGCATGTTTCCCTGAAGGAGGTAAGGCAGACCTATAACATCTCAATGGAGACAAACAGGGGACGGACCTTCCGCTAGAAAAGTTTCAAGTGCACCTTTAACTTTAGTTTACTAATTTGCAAAACAAATATATGAAAATTAATTTTCCTACCCTGATTTCAAATTGGCATTAAGCTAGTACACTGCGTAGAAAGAAAAAAACATAGAAACAAACAGTAATTATCATCAAACTGACTGGAGAGATGGTAGGCTTGTGACAAAAAGCCTAAAAAACGTCCCGTATATCTTTGTTTGCAGCCATCAGACAGGAAATGGGCAGAATCACTACGTCCTAATGGAGCGTCTGAGGAGTGGAGAGGCAGGAGCGGCCGATGGACTCACAGACACGAGGACCAAACAATGTTCTCTCAATGTTTCTGTGACCTCTCTGCCGCGGTGCACGTCGCAGAGATGTTGTGCCAACATTAGAGTCTGCTGGACAGAAACGGGACACATGATGGGCAGAAGAATACAATGCCATGGGGGGACATTTGGGCTGGAGCACTCGCAATCAGCCCTGTGCAACTCTTTATCTTCTGTTGAGTCCCACAAAGGAATTTTTTTTTTTTTTTTTAAGTTTTTACCATTTTATTATTTAAAAATGTGGTGTTTATTATGATACTGTTCATGGCAATGCGTGTTTTATCAATGAGTTTAAGAGGGCAAAAGGAAACTTGCACACCTTTTTGTCAGTCTTTTATATTTTGGACTGTTTTTTCGTTGTTGTTGAGGCCATAAATATTTCACAAAGACAAGCACAATATGAGCAACATGGAGCAGGACCCTCTATGATCCTCTGAATGGAAGGGACCCTAAACCCACCCGGACAATGTTCATACTTCTCCTTTACCAATGTTCTGTCTCCTTTAATTTACTGAAATATGAACTGTAATTGGCTAACATCTTTTCCTGCACACATAATGGGATCCTAAAAACTGAAAATTTCAAGCAATCTACTGATCAACTCAAGTGCAAGAGTTTATTTGAATGTTCAAAAATGGCTGGACTTTGGGATAATTTGCCAAAACAGGCCCAGAGTTGTAAATGTGCCACCTGCTTTCACTGGCATTAGAACAACAGTATGTAATTTCTGTCTGTCTCTGCTTTGTAAATCCCCACGTATGCATGAAACCCTAGCTCTCAATATGTTTGTTTTCATTTGAGAAAAGAATGACAAGTTAGCAGACGGTGGTACATTTATTTTCATGGTTTGTTTCTAGGAGGATTCTCTGCTCTGGTTGTACGCAGGGGTCATTGCTGCCTATGGATCAGAATGTGTTTAGAATTATGTGATAGAAGTGGAGATGTGTTTGCAGGTGGACTTTGGTTGAAAAACTCTTCTTTCCACTCTTGTCAACTATTTTTGGATTTTAAACCTGGAAGCTCAAAACATTCAATACATGTGTCAAAGCCCTTGTTTTTCTTAGTCTTCATCCACAGCAGTAAGCCAGAACGATCAGCAATCATCATTCAGTTATTAACTTTATCTTGTTCCTGGTAGCTTAATGGGGAATTGGAGATCATTTCCCTTTCCCTTATCAGGTTCTCAAATAGACACAAACGGTTTACAATTATACTGCAAAGGAGTCACCAATTCTAGTACATAAAAATACATTATCAAAAACTGAGACAACGTTAAAATGCATTTTTTTTTATATATAAAGATCCTGATAAATACAATTCTGAAAAAATAAAAAATAACCAAACAATATGTTGCATTTACATACGTAAATGTAAAACGTAAATATAAGACAGATTTCAGCCACAATAACATCTGAGTTGAGGCAAATATGTGCAGGTTGACTGACAGATGGTCATTTCTAGAGGAAAAGCTCCTCTTACTAAAGGTAAGTTTCAAAGCTCATTTCCATCTTTACTTCTGTTTAGTTCTATACAAGTCATGTGAAATTACATTAGATAATGAGTGGGCATTTGCAAAAGCTGAATGATCTAATGACATGACATCTATGTTTGGAGTATGATTTATTTATTTTTTCCAAGTTTTGGCATTGCCTTGACATGGTTACTTGTTTTACTACCATGGAGACAACAACAAATTTGTAGTCAAGCTGCAATCAAGGCTATTATTTTGAATGTGTTGAAACATGCATTTCAGTTTCAGATAAATAATTTTATATAGTCTTGAACACAACAGAAGGACTTTTCCTGAGTCAGTCCATGCTCTTTCCCTGCTGACTGAGTTTATACTGCCGTTTGATCCGCGCGTACGGCCCAATGCTGTCATCAAACACAAAGTCCCACAGCACCCTGGTCCAGGACGTGTGCTGGGGCAAACTGTCGTAGTATTCTGATGCTATCTGCTTTACCTGCAAATAAAACAAGATATTCAAATATGTGAAAGAAGAAGTGTGCATGTGTACACATCAATGTTCCCCACATAAACTGGTCTAATCATTAACTTCTAGTTTTGTAGTCATTACATATTAGGAACATGCCTTTGTGATATATTAGTTATACATTAGTACATTAGTTCAAACTGTCATTTCAGAGCATGTTCAGCACTGATCATAAACAGTCATAAAATCAGTTGAATTGTTTCTGAAGGTATAAAAAGGGAGGCGCTGCCCTTGTCTGAATAGTTGCTGTGTCACTGGTGTCTGTCTCACCTGAGGTAGTTTGCTGCCAGGTATGCTTGGGAAGTCGTGGTGCTCCATATGGTACCCCACATTGAAAGTAATCAGATTAAGTGGTCCATAGTAAGAATAGGTTTCATGTCCTTTTAGAAACATATAATGCTCCGCAATGAAATGTCCAGAGATGGGATGTATTCCCATGCATAGGATGGAGCCTGCTATGAGGTAAACAATGGGCTTAATGCCCCAAAAGTAGAAAATTATTAAGTCTGCTGTGAGTTGAACAACTGCATTTTGGACCTCTAGGTGACCGACTGGTTTTGGGTTGACCACCAAAGGGCGCAGGCTGTAGAAGAGGGGCTGCAGGAAAAGCCAGAGCAGCTTCCGGGCCGGTGTGCAGAAGAACCATCCCTCAAAGTCTGTGGGGATGTCCACATCCAACTGGTCCCCTCCCAGGTAGCGGTGGTGATCAACGTGGTATTTCTTAAACGAAGCAGAGTAAGGCACTCCAATGGGAAGGTTGGCCCACATGGCAAACCAGCGGTTCCATTTGGCCAATTTGTTTCCAAAGGCCACATTGTGAGAGATGTCATGAATGGCTAGTGTGAGTGAATGGTTAATACAGCCCCCAAAGGCATAGGCCCAAAAGAAGATCCACTTCCATGACAGGTCTTGGACCAGGTAACAGGCGAGAAGCTGTGTCAGGACCATCCCAGAGACCACCCACTTCAGCTGGGGGTCTGGGCCCATCAGGGACTTGATCTGGGGGTATTTAGCTGCAGACATAAGATACAATACCATTATAAAGGAACAGAAATAGTATAAGTTAAATACAGGAAGAATGATGAAAGCTAATACAGTTTTTGGTTAGAGGAATAGGTGAAGGTTATTGTGTGTTTGGACCGTTACAGGGTAATCAACAAGAGCAGTGCTTCTGAATGTATCAGGTGCTGCTCCTCTGGGAGAGTGGGGGCTCTTTAATTGGAAGAAGTGTTGCTTTGCTGAGAGACATGGAACAAGGAATTCCTGAGTGTATTCACATTTACTTTAAGGCTGTTACGGTGACTCTTTGTACTTAAAGAATTTACAATTAACAGCAGGACTATTGGAAGTCTTGGATGATGGAAAATTGGGCCTATTTAAATGCATTCAAATACACTATCTGCAGAGACATTCAAATATGGCTGGTTCTGATGTCCTAATTCTGCTTGTGCCTTCATGCAAACAGGCTTCACCTTAGTAACATAAACATGAAAGACAAAAGACTGGAGAGCAGTACCAACACAGAGCTGAGCTCAGTGGCCAAGCCTAGCTCAGTTAAACGTTAGCCAAGACACATTCCCAACTGCCCACCTTATTTCTAATGTTCTTTTATTTCCATACCATTTCACCAGCTCTTTGTCTTGTATTTGCATTAATGGATAATTAAATATAGGTTATATTCTGTGACTTTAGAGGGCAAAGACTGATTACTCACCTGATGTTATACAACTACTCACCACAATACAGCATCAGTACAGGCATGGAATAGTTAAGTTTAAATACGTTGTGAACATACCTTGTTTTACCTCATGTTATTAAATATAAATGGCCCTGGCCTATTCTTTGGCTTGAATGACTAATGGTGCATGTGCTCAGTCTGGTTTGAAAATTAATATTCCCTAACCCCACAATAAGACACATACATATAGCCTCATCTCTGCACAACCATCTCTGAACTGGGGCTGATCTGCAAGGTAGCTACAGGGTGGGGATGGACATTATATAAACTTTATGATGGAAAGAAACCACACTACATGTTGGGAGGGGCTGTTTCTTGTTGTGAGAGGGCAGGGTCACACATTAAAACTAAATTCTTAAATTATTCAGGACTCACAGGTGTCAAACAACCCATCACCATTTCTGGAGACTTCCTTTACACCACAGCTCACACACGACACAGGATTTAGAATCACAAATAACATTTAAATCACTGGCTACATCACTAAGAGACTCTGTTTGGTTTATGTAATTGGGAGCATGACAGCAGATGTGGTTAGTTGGATTATAGGCTCACCTTTGTGTGCCTTCTCACCTCCTCCAAAGCATTGTTTGTCATGAGCGCAGAATGTGTCTTGTTACCAGGACAGCCCAGGGGCACTGTGGTGACTGCACCTGTTATCAACATGCGCCTATTGTCCTGCCCAGATAGGTTTACAGAAACAGCATAGGTCAAATCTGTTACACCTTTGCTTGTCCCAGAAACCCCGCTTTGACAAACAATGTAACGCTCACACTGATAATAATTAAGATATTTTTTGCTGTCACGTTTATGCAACAGGTAGACTATCATCACTTCTTCACCTTTACACAAGAGGGCTGGAATGTGTTGTAGAAACGGGGACTTATTGGTTTATAAAAAATAGATTAATAAACTAAAAAAGTCCAAGGTTTTGTTAAGCAAGTCAAGTTTTCACATTTGTACATTTTATACATATATATATATATAAATAGTGTGTAATTTACACAATACACAGACTGTCATAAGCTTATCGAAGTTATTTAAAATTATGTTGTGTAGCCTACATACAGTTGTGTAAACAACATTGAGTGACTGTCTAAAGTCAGTTTAAAAACAGCGTGTCTCGAGCCTTACTCCCTGCATACACCCCTGCTCTCGTTGAACAAGAGTCAGTGAACAGGTTTAACCGGAAACTTTTTTTTAAATAAGAAAAGTAAGTCTCATAATATAGGACAGGTGGAAAGAGCGTGGGGAAAACGGTACAAACTTACCCAGTATTTCTTTTCTGCGTGAAGTGTGCGGTTGGTCTGTGTAGACCCATTCAAAGTCGCCTCTTCCACCTGTCTTCCCCATGGCTGTGTGCGCTGTGCGGCTCCGAGGCAGGGCTGTGGCGTGTTGTATGTCATCAGACTCCAGTATCGGACACACCCACTCACTCAGGTTCAGGGCTCAAGGTGGAACGGGTGAAAGGTGTGATCCAAACCCCTCCCCCATACACAGAGTATTGTTCGCGGCCCGTGCAGCTCAGGGCCTTGCAGCCACCAGAGGGCCCCTAATTAGCGCACAGGCCAATCCACTCAGGATAAGAGCGCACCTCAGCCTTCTGCTCAGTGTTCTCAGAGGGTTTGGAAGCACGCAGGTCGAGGAAGCTTTACCCTACATCATAAAAAGCGCACTAGTCCTACAAGTATTACTGTAGCGTCTTACTCTGAGTAATAATGGAGGAGAGCACGCCCCAAGGTCTCTGACCAACCAGTATAATGTGAGGACAAAGAGGACTGAGACAGAGCCAATTTATAGAAAATCATTTCTTACAAAATGTTTATAAAAGTTTAAAAGTCCGATTAAAACGCGAGTAGCTATTTTAAAGTGCTGGTGTGCTAATTTTGGAGAGTGGAGAGCATCCAAGGCAGAAGGTGAGGGGTCTGCGGGTCGAGGCGGTCGCGGTGGCGGTGATGTGCTGATGGTTGGGCCTTTTGGCTGCGACAGTAACATTTGTGGATCCCGACCAGACCTCCCAACCTCACCCTCCAGCACACCTTTACAGGGTTAAAACAGAGCCACAGAGAGTGTACTGGTTATCGCACAGGTAAGTCAACACGTAAGTCAACGGGGGATGAATGGTTTATTGTTTTATTGCCAGAACTGAATAGGTTACTGTCTGTCTTAGTCACACCAGTACAGAAGGATAGCTATTTAAAACTTTTATCCAATCACGTACAGTGACATGGACTTCATAAAATAATTGCGTCTTTAACAACAGTTATAAGGATAGGAATAAGGTTTTAACATTTCCAATGTTGCAAGTTCCTACATTTTTAATCGCCCAATTAATTGACAACTGTAGGCCAGTTGTTTCAAGATAAACTGAAAAATGCATCGGAGTCAATTTGTGATTGCATTTGGGACCTGGAAGTGTTTTAGAGGTTACCGGTCAGCAGTTGCCAAAACTTGTGAATGTGACAATAGCCTATGTCTCAGCCTGTTACATCACTTACAGCCAATAGGAATTACATCTAGCCAATAACCACAAGCTGAGGGGTAATAAACTGGGTTAATAATTAATGTCAAAATGCTTAGAGCCCACATGATTATTTTGATTAGGTATCGTGATTCACACAGTTCATGCGGTTATCTTTATATATTCATATGGCAACTAAAGCATCTGCTGTTTCTGAGAGGTCACACTTTACTATGTTGGGTTGAATCTACCTGTCACTGGAAGAAGATGACCAATAGGAGGTAGTGAAGAGTGTCTGTGTTTGAGCCTATAGTTGTATTAAACAGGGGAGCACAATCATGATGACAAAAGCACCAAAAATATCAGATAATTTCTGATTTTGTTCATGAGAAGAGTAGCATAAAGCTTCTCTGGTCAATCAGGTTAGCTGGGTTTAGAAAAAGATCATCTCTAGACGAGCCCAAGCTGATCCAGAGAAAGAGGAAAGCTGAGTCATCATCATCACGAGGATTGTGTTGGCATACGTCAGGCAGGTCTCTGACAATACCACATGCACTATAGACATTAAGAACAAACTACACTTGACCTCTCAGTCTCCAAAAGATGACTTGTGCTGTTTTGAAAGCCATGGGTTCTTGTTCAGTCACCTGCCTCTTGTTGTTAGTAAGACTGTCATGGCTGTCTGATGGATACTTTTTAATGAAATGAGCTACTGTGTCCAAATTATTTCCCTTGTGGATCAATAAAGTTTGTCTAAGTCTAAGTCTACACAGGCTAAAGGGCATCCACATTTGTGACTCCCGCCCTAAAATCAGATCAAGAAACATAAGATTAAAACAGCTTAAAACGCATCAGTCTGAAATCACATCATCAACTGTAAGTAGGCGAGGCAAGGCAAGTTTATTTGTATAGCACAATTCATACACAAAGTAATTTAAAGTGCTTTACGGAATAAGAAAAACATTAAATCACAATAATCATCATAAAATTAAAGATTAAACTTTTAAAATAAGAAAAAAGAGAGAGAGACATTAATTACATAAATTAGAAAAGAGTGCAGAATGAAAACCTCACTCAGTAATAACCCAAATGAGGTGTAGGTGAGGTAGGCCACTGTTGAATCAATGCTAAGTCAAAAGTCTTTTCCATTAGGATGTCATTTCATCTATCTCTCTTTTATTTATTTATTTTTACACAACAGGACAAAACAGCAAAGTTAGATATATAGCATAAAGTGAAGATGGGACTGTTGTGCATCAATGCAAAGTCCAGTTCACAGTTATGGAAAGTATATATATATATATATATATATATATATATACACACACACACACACATACACGTACATATATACATATATACATATATACACATACACACATACATACATACATAATTTAAAGCCAAAGCGAAACAAAAACAAAACTGACACATGTAAACTTAAATTGAGGCATACAATTCGTACAAAGAAATCAATACAAGAAACTGAGGAAGTTAAATCAATTCCCAATTGTTCTGTAATTTTGAGTGTTTTGATAGATTTAATGTTAGAAATACAGTTTGTGTTTGAAGATAATTCTTGATGGCTAGGATAATGATTTTAAAAAGGGGTCTGGAATTGGAGAATATTTCCTAAATAATTATACATTTTATATTGTTTATGATGGAAGTAGGTTATTATGCTTGAGCAGTCCAAATGAATTCTGACTGTTTTTTTTTTTTTTTTTTTTTTTGTTTTTTTTCATCCAGCTCATAGATCCACAATCTTTTTTTCTTTTTTTTTAACAGAAAACATAACTACAAGACAAAACCTCAAAGGTATATACAGGGGTGGAGAAATATACACATAAACACATACACACATACACATACATCTTTTTTTTTTATATCTATAAATACAGTACGGGGGAGGTTTGTTATTGATTATACAGTAGAGCAGAAAGAAGGAAACCAAATCTAAACAAAAAACAATGCCATAAACTAAATAAAAATGATCATATAAGGAGCTGTTATCAAGATATAGGGGAGAGTGATATTGTTACAGATACTTCTTATAGATATCATATGTTTTAACCGCTTTTTTGTTTTGGACCTGTTTTATTGTTTGAAAATATTGCTGGATTTCGTTATTATACTGATGAACATTTAGTTTATTTTGAGTCCATTTGGTTTTGTGTGTATGATATTTGGCCAGCATCATGAGCGTCTTAGTGAGGAATCCGAGATCTTTGGTGATGGAGGGGCTGGTGAAGTAGACCAGGACGTCGCTTTCCTGGAGGCTGATCGCATGTCTGGTTTTGGTTTGGCTGAGTCGTTGTATGTGGGTCCAGATATTCCAGATATTCCAGATACACGATCCGTCTAGTCTGGAGTAGCCGATCAGGGATGAGATCTCGCGAGACTTGATAATTGGAGCATAGCGGCGGCGAGACTTGCGCGCTGAGTTTTTGGAGAGGGAGGAGGACCGCTGAGGGAACAGGAAGGCGAGCGGAGTGGAGAAACTGTTTTAAATAGTAAAAATAAGTACAGGACTCATGATGGCTTCGGGGGATACGCTGTATATAGAGACAGACGGCTCGGATATGCCGGCGGAGATAGTAGAACTTCACGAAATAGAGGTAGAAACCATAGACACAGACGAGCACCAGCCTATGATCGCCTTACAGCCTCTTGACACGGACGACCCGCACTCGATTCACCCGCACCAAGAAGTGATCCTGGTGCAGACGAGAGAGGAGGTGGTGGGCGAGGATGACTCCGAACTGCACACAGACGATGGATATGAAGAACAAATACTCATCCCGGTCCCCGCGGACGAGGACTATATCGAACATACTCTGGTTACTATTCCCGGAAAAAGCTCTTCGTCTGGCAGAACGAAGAAGGCTGGAGGAAGCAAGAAAGGGGGCAAAAAGAGCTACTTCAGTGCAGGGGAGATGGGGAGAAAATGGGAGCAGAAACAGGTTCAAATAAAGACTTTGGAGGGGGAGTTCTCCGTAACTATGTGGGCATCTGGTAAGTTCAGTTCCTGAGCTGAGTTAGCATGTCGCTTTGTTCTTAGCATGTGCACCTTGTGACCAGGCCCCGCGGAGGCCCGGTGCTCCGCGAAAGTCTAAACGATTTCTTAACTTTGAAGCACTTAAATTCACTTGAAATGTTTTTGTTTTTATGGGAAGCCATGTTTTATGTGTCAATGGGCGCCGCCATATTTTCCCGGTCTAGAAAGTATGGCGGCCCGAAAAAATGGCGTTTATTTGGCCGACGAACATGGCGGCGAGAGTGGGAGCGAGTGCAGTGGGCTCCGCTAGGCCGCTGTGGCGCAGTTCAGGCCGGCGGCGGGGCGGGGCGGGGGCTCTGTGTTGTGCTGCTAGGGCTAGTTTACAGAATATCACTGGAAAAGTACTTAACCCGTGCACAAGTAAAAGTACTGGAAACCATTACGTATACACACTTATTAATCATTACTTAGCGAAATTATTATTGTACTAAAATTAACATTTGAAATGCAATATCCGTTTTGTTCTCATATCGTGCCTTGATTTATTGAGAAATTCTAAAATACAGAGGTAGAAAATATGCAAACTGTATCACCTGTTTGATCAACTTATGTGAACACAACCCTGTGCTTTTGTGCTTCTTGCCTCAGATGACAAAAAAGATATTGACCATGAAGAACAAATCTCAGGTGAAAATTCTCCTCCAGATTATTCTGAATACATGACTGGGAAGAAACTCCCACCTGGGGGTATCCCAGGCATTGACCTGTCTGACCCCAAACAGCTGGCAGAGTTTGCACGGTGAGTGACTTTCCACCTTTAGTTGAATTTTTTGTTTGGAGAAAAATATTTGGCACTGTAAATTTATTTAATTTTTTAAATCAGAATGAAGCCCAGAAAAGTAAAAGAAGATGACTCTCCCAGGACAATAGCATGCCCACACAAAGTGAATATAAATATACAATTGCAAAAGAGCTTTGCAATCCATATTTTTTTATTTTTTTTTATTTTTTAGAAATGGTTTAAAATAAATATTAACATCTTTTTTTCCTGCTCAGGGATGTTCTAAAATGTTCAGGGACAACTCTGCAATGAGAAAGCACTTGCACACCCACGGGCCTCGTGTGCACGTGTGTGCAGAGTGTGGGAAAGCGTTTGTTGAGAGCTCCAAACTGAAGAGGCACCAGCTTGTACATACAGGAGAGAAGCCTTTCCAGGTGCGTTTTTTTTCTGTGGTACCTAGAAATAATCTTTGAAATGTGTGAAATTATCTTGCATCTTCTCTGTTAATAGTGCACTTTTGAAGGCTGTGGTAAGAGATTCTCACTGGACTTTAATTTACGTACTCATGTTCGTATTCACACTGGAGATCGGCCATATGTGTGCCCCTTCGACGGCTGCAACAAAAAGTTTGCCCAGTCAACAAACCTGAAGTCACACATCCTGACACATGCCAAAGCTAAGAACAACCAGTGACTGCTTCAGAGTGGGAACTAGTGGACAGCCCCCCCCTAGAGTCTGCACTCTAAACTGAGAGATGATCCTTTTCTCAGACATTTTTATGTACAGTAAGTTTGATGGGCTGTGGAACCCTCACCCTCAGGTCTCCTCTGTGTTTGGCACTACCTGGGTTTAAAAAAAAAAAATCTTCTTCTGAAGACCTCAAGGATTGGCACCTATACTTATTTATACTGTTTCACATTTTGTAAGTCAAGTTGTATTGATCCTCAGCAATGATATTTTCACTTTTGTACTTTTCCAGTGTGCATATTGTACACTGATTGTGCTTATGTAGTTATTATTTGAGTAGCTTCTCTTTGAAGAGGTTTGAGATTTCTCTTGTGTTTCTGCTGAACAGGGTGGTTAGTTTTTTGTACAATGCTGTATCTAAATCATGTTAATAATCGCCATGTGATTTTTTTCCATAGTAATAAAAATATTTTCCCCTTAAAGTCTGAGCTGCTTTTATAGTTCATGAAACCCACTGGTGACATTTTGGTAGCGTTTTATTTCTGGTACCATTAAAAAATGTTGACCAATACCACATTTAAAAATCACAAATCAATTCTGGCAGGCAAGGACACCAACCTTTCAGTGCATTTGAGTTCATAAAAGCAAGAACAAATTTAAAACAGTTCATTAAAAATAATACATCAGTAATTACCAGGTTAAAAACCCTGGTGAAAGTAAACAAAAGCAGACACCCTTTAATGCATAGGCTATTTATCGGTAAAGAATTTGCATAATTAATTCCTCCATTTGCCCAACACCTGCAGAGGAAAATCAAAATCTGACCCTTGTCAGCACTTTGTCAAAACTCATTCAATTGTCTTAGGGATCTGATCATTAGTTCAAGAGAGCAGCCAGTAGTTTGGGGTAGTTAGGCGTCCCCCAGCCAGTTACAGGGTCCCAGGATGGAGCTGCACAGAAGCCCTTCCCCTGGACTTCCTCATCCAAGCAGCTCAGGTGACAGCCATCAGTCACCTGGAAGAAAAAAAAAATTCTATGTATGAGAATAGCAATTTGTGTTAGACATTTGCATATGGTGGATTTAACTTTTTTATTTTAAGTATTTATGGTTTATACAGTATAAAAGGTATCCTAATCTCATTTTACTTACATCAAAGAGACCCAATCCTTGGAGTTTGTAGAGACGAGGGTTGAGAAAACCCAAAACTGGAAGACCTTTTAGAAGTCTCTGACCATTAATAAGAGACAGCATGCCTCCCACAACAGGGGTAGAGGCCTGGGGAAAAGAGAAAGTACATATGTAAGCCTTTTGGTCACTCAGAACACAAATTCTGTACAAGCACCATTCTTAAAGAGTGAAATAAGGATTTCATTATTTACCGAAGTTCCAGAAACCCAAGGTATTGGAACTCTGTTGGACACCACCCAATAGTTATCAGACAGAGCAGCTATGTCGGGATATGCCCTTCCAGTTGGGCTATAGTATGACTGAGGAGGGAGGGATGAGCCTGCTGTTCTCAGATATGCGTCAACTGCACTGGCCTAAAAATCACATTGTTTTGATTTAAATGAACAGAATAAAATCAAAATATGCACATGCCCATCAGCAGTTTACCTGATAATCAGGCATCTTGAAAACATTACTAAAGCCTCCACCACTAATGTAATCTGTCACCTCTTCTGTCAGTTTAAATGGGTTCTTAAATGAGGTTCCCCCGACTGTGGTTACGTAGGGACTGAGAAGAAAAACAAAACAGTTTCTATCATTCCAATACTAATTTTACTGCATAAAGACAAATGAAGAAACAAATGTACCTTGATGCAGGAAAACTGGGTCTGAATGCATTTTCTTTCCCCATGTGTCGACAGCCAGCTCCACTGTCACCTGAATGTGAGAATCCAGTCAGGGTTTTATTATCGTACATACAAAACAGAAACCACCACATGCTACTTAAAAAATACAAGTAAATAAGTCTTATAGTGTAGCTCCCCTAGTAGTCTACATTAAGAGGAGACTGGCTATATTATAAGATATAAAATAGCCTGAGAAAGCACTATTCTTATTTTCACTGAATAAAACCAGGAGGCTAAAGGAAAGACTATAATACTAATTTTCCCAAAAAATATTTAAAATGTGGTAATGTGCCATTTTAATTTAGAGTGTAGAAATGTATCCAGTAAGTATGGGAAAGTACTTTTTTTGTCTTATTTCATTTGAGCTTCATAAAAAGTGGAGGATGTTTGAAATTGTTAGATGTAATGTACATTATAGAGGTCAACATTCGTATACACCATTCCCCAATTAAAACAAAAAATCAAGACATACATCAAGAGACATACAAGGCATACATCAAAATGTCAAATGTGTACACCAACTAAATTAATTATTTCATTTTTAATTTAAATGTACATAATAGCACAGCCTTATTAAAAATTGGTAATTGTTGGCAAAAATACCTTCATCCCAGAATTTAGAATGTAGTAAAGACAGAAAGCTTAAAGTCATTTGTGTCTGCACATATATTAAAAACATCTTTATGGCTGTGTGCTGTGTATAAGGGGATATTATATACATGCTACTGCTTAGATCCCCCTTTGAAAGATCACTGTTAATGTTCATAGCTCCATTAACATGTTAATCATCCAAATAGTGTAAACAAAGGTCAGACAAACCAGAAGCAAAGAGCAGTGAAATCCCGCGGACTCCTGCCTTCATAAACTCTGTGTTGATGCGGGTCATGTACGCAGTGGACAGACTGTCCTCGTCGTCTCCATAACTGATGGTGTGGACCCAAGGCAGATCAGACATGTTACTGAGCAGAAGCATCCACTGCAGGAAGGGTTCTTGAGACTCATGACGTCCTGCCATTACACAAAATCACAATCAAACTTTTTTTTTTTTATTCAAGTACTCACTGCCTTAGCACCTCATAGGTCCTCATAACTCACACCTTTTTGTGGTTTAAAATGTTACAATATAATAACAATAAATTGGTATACATCATTTTACTTTGATTTGAAAACTGCAGACCTGCATTGCTGAAGACCCAGGTAGAGATGTTGGCTCCTGTGCTCATGATGTACTCCACATCCAGACTGGCCTCCAACCCAGCCTTCCCTCCTCCCTGAGTGCCCACCACTCGCTCCACAGCAGAGTGATGCAGGAAGCTTCCTCCAAACATGCTCATGAACTCTGACAGGTCAGCAGGGTGGTAATATTGTTCCAGGAACTGAAGAAAGAAAAGTACTTCAAGGCAATACAGCAAACAATTATAATAACACTGGATGGATCAAAAGCAGTGGATTATCGATTACAAATTACAAATGTTACATATTACAAATGCACATCTCAATCAGTGATAGCAATCAAAATCTGCAGTTGTATTTCACAATAACCAATGCACATGCACATGCGGAGATGGCATTGGGTGTCATCAAAATTCAGAAAACTATATACTTATTTAAGCAAGTTTTGATACTGAGAAAAAATAAAATAACATTATGGCCTTTAAAATGCTCATTCAGATATCAAACCTGGTATAGAGTATTGAGTCTTGCCCAAGCACACATAATGCTGGTAGAAATAATTAAATTGACATCCTGTTACCGCCAGATGTCTGCCAACTGAGCTCCTGCTTCCCCACAAGAGGGATTTCTTTATAACTATCACCTTAGAAGTCTCACCTGTGCCACTGCCTGGCTGTTGTTGGGAGCCCCACCCACATCTGAGGAGGACAGGTTGTAGCGCTGCCGGAGGATGTAGGGGGTCACTCCCAGGTGCAGCCCAGCCTCTGATCGCTTAGAGTGCGGTGAACTATTAATGAAGTCCTGCACTTTGGGAGGGAATCTGTGCACTCCTCCAACTGTAAATGCACAAAAATGTTTAAATACTTAGGACATTGTTGGAAAATATTTAACTGTACTTTTTTCATTTCTGGGCATGCACAAAAAGAACACATGTGAAATTTTTCAACAGAATTAGTTTAAAAAATATATACTTGTACCCCAGTCAAATAGAAAGGATAGATAATCCAGCAAGGGGCAAAAAATATATTTATATTATATATTTATTATATAATTGATATAAATGATTGATTGCCAATGTTTTTAATACATCACTAAGTTTGGAGAAGCCCATCAACCACTACATAATAAATGATGTAATATTTGGCTCATTAAAGGATTACCAAAGTCCAGATGTGAATGAACTTCATCAGGTACAGAGTATGGAGCTGAGGATCTCAGCACAGAATGGTTTTCACTGCTGTATCGGTGGAACCTGCTCCCTGGAAGCAGCTTCTCTGCCTGCCTACGTGCACAGACATAACAATCACTGGTCAGATAAACATGCACAGGCAGCAAGAAACTCTGCAAATTTTCAAAATGTACTTCCCTTTTGTGGTTAGATTTACTTTCAGAATAA